CATGAGGTTTCATGAAGAGACAACGAGTGTCAAGCCGTCGTAAATAACAAGGTTTCAGAGGGATTTAGTTCAAGTAAGGTCAGTTCATGTATACAGCACGTTGACTGTAAAAAGAACAGTATTGACCCAAAGTGGCTTCCTGTAGGCAGATAGGTATGATCGAAGAAATATTCAGGTGCTTATAAGTCAATCATACTTGTTGTAGTTACAAAAAACAATAGTTCCGAGATACAACTCCGTAGGAAAGTAGGATACATATAATAAAAACCAATGCCGACAAGATTGAAAAGCAGTAGATGGTTGAGAGGAGACTTGCTGGGTCTACAAATCAGATGTTTAATTGTCAAAGGTGGAACGAAGAGCTCACTGAGCCCGGAGCAGCAACAGAAAGTCACCAGGGGTCGGCACTTAAGTTTGGCCTTGGGTTTTTCTGAGCCACTAGATTGCGGGCCGGAACTCAAAGGCTTCTTTAAGTAATTGACTGCCAACTGGGTCCACCACCCCTCGCCCTCCATGATCAAGCGGCTTTCTCCGATTTTGTTGTCAATGTTTTGACTGAACTTTGTTACTGCTCATATAAGTAAACATTACGTTTGAATGATTTAGTGAGCTGGTGTTATTTTTTTCACACCACAAACCACATATTGGCTTTTTCAGCACCACGCGCTGTCCTTATTGATCCACTATCAGCGTCAGTGCACCCTGCTGCCAGATTGTGCCTGCTGTGTGTCATTTACTCTCAACATGGATACAAGTACAATAAGCATTATTCAAGTGTAGGTAGATTCTCTATTTGGACATTATAGCCTATATTTGTGACTGTCGGTCCGATATATAAAAAAATATTTTATTTTTATTCTCAAAATAATTATCATTATTAATTATTGCTGGCGGGCCACCAATGGCTCTAAAACACCGCAATGAAGTTATATCTGTTTACACACTTATTTCATGTTTATTCTAAGGATGACGGAAATGTGTAACTTCTCATATCTGCTGTCAGCTGGACTTTCCTGATGTAATAACGGTCCAATCAATACTCAGTCTTACGTAACATACATCTGTGTCTCGATTTGCATACTTCTTTACGTACATGCGCTATCTTGAGTGCATCCAAATGCAAAGTATGACAACATGCAGTATAATTACCCTGATGGTGCACTTGTAACGTTCAAACAGTTGGAACGCTTCTTGGCTACGTAGCAGAAGTTACGCTACCGGTAAACACACCACTATATTAATAAAAGTTGTAAGAGGTGCTCTCATAACATTCAAACAGTTGAGTGTGAAACAGCGGAGACTTCCAACACTCAACGACCTACGATACATAACGTAGACATCCATTCATATACAAAAAATTGTTGTTGGATCTACAAAACGACAATATTGGACAACATGGCAGTGTACTAAGAGAAGAACAACAGCATCAATCGTATTAGATTTTGGATGTGTAATAGTGCTGTCCTTTCAAGGTTCAAGGTTCTTTATTTGTCATACGAACGTCGCTACTGAGTAGTTATGTCAATGAAAATCTTAGGTCACAGGCTTCTCCAACAATGCAACACAATAAACAATTAAAACAGAAACATATAGTGCAAGTAAATATTAAAAGTAAATACAAAAAGAAAAATAGTTTAAAAAAGTAGTGAAATAAGAGTCTATATGCAAGCTATTGGAACGATACATTAGATAAATAGATACATAATTTCTAAGTAGCAGATGAATGTTATGAATGTTGTTTCAGCAGTTCAGTTTTTAACAGTCCTGTGGGATGAAGCTGTCCCTGAGTCTGGTGGTTTTTGTCCGGATGCTGCCGTAACGCCTGCCAGACGGCAGCAGACTGAACAGTTTGTGGCTGGGGTGATGGGGGTCTTTTGTAATCCGGAGGCTTTCTTCCTGAGCCGCTGGGAGTAGAGGTCCTTCCTGGTGTTGTACAAGGTAAGTGATATAATTGTTGTATTTGTGTAAGTCTTTATAGCCACATTACTGATTTACAATCAAAAGAAAATCTATTGTGGTAATAGTTACGGCCCGTCCACACAGCGGCGTGCGTGAAGCTTGCCGGCGGGCGTGTCTGAAACTCGACAACAACAATCGCATGAATCTCCCGCCCCTGAACACAAGCAGCGGTTTGATTGGCTAGAGCTTGTACTGGCATATGATTCGATTGGCTGACGCTTCTGCCGAGGCTTCAAAAGCTGAACATTGCTCAACTTTTGCAGCGAACCACGCCAGCAAAGCTCCGCGTCGCTTCCCGCAATGCAGTTCGGCGAAAGTGACGTCACCCCATTTCAAAGTGAATGGTGAAGCTTTAAACGCACGCCGCTGTGTGGACAGCTTCGACAGCTTCAAAACGGTTTCCAACGCGTTCTGCCCATTCACTTTGAATGGGGGTGACGTCACTTTTCGCCGAACTGCATTGTGGGAAGCAGAGCGGAGCTTTCCTGGTGTTTCAGGCTGCAAAAGTTGAGCAATGTTCAACTTGTTGAAGCTTCTGAAGCTTTCGGTGGAAGCGTCAGCCAATCAAATCATATGCCAGTACAAGCTCTAGCCAATCAAACCGCTGCTTGTGTGTCAGGGGGCGGGAGATTCATGTGATGGTTGTTGGTCGAGCTTCAGACACGCCCAGCTCCAAGCTTTTTTTGAAGCTGTAGTGTGGACGGGCCGTTAGTGTTTAACAGTCAACCCTATTATACCATCACACAATGGACATTAACGTATTTGCTCAATGATATTGTGATATTTGATATAATCACCAGGCTCTAAAACACCCGCAATGAAGTTATATCTGTTTACACACTTATTTTCATGTTTATTCTAAGGATGACGGAAATGTGTAACTTCTATATCTGCTGTCAGCTGGACTTTCCTGATGTAATAACGGTCCAATCAATACTCAGTCTTACGTAACATACATCTGTGTGTTGACACTCACTAAGCGCTCAACAATGGGAAGAAATAAATAACATTTCCTCCTCAAATGTGCACCTTCATTCTTCATCCCCAAAACTCTCTCCTCCTTCTTCCTGTGAATCCATCTTTTTCTCACCCTCTTCCCCATCTCTGGACCTCAGCCAATCCCCCTCTCCCTCCCTTTCTCTCCCTCTTTTCTTTCTTTTCTAGTCCCCCCCACTGCCCTACATTCACTCTGCCTTTCACTCCCTCTCGCCATAGAGCGATAATCGGAGGGAAAGTGAGAGGAAGCGTCGACTTTTTCTCCGGAATGACATTGCCAGGACATAAAGGAGGGGATTTCGGGAGAGGCGCTTAGCGGAAAAAAGCAAAAACAAAACCCCCCCCTTGTCAATCTGGCTTATAATTTCCATTAAAATGTGTTCATGTGGTAGTTTACTTTGAGAAAAGCTATTCTAATTAGCCGTTTGCATCTGTGTGTGTGTGTGTGTGTGTGGTGTGTGTGTGTGTGTGTGTGTGTGTGTGTGTGTGTGTGTGTGTGTGTGTGTGTGTGTGTGTGTGCAAGGGAAATACAACTTGTGCACAAATGGGCAGGTGTGTATCTGCACCTTTCTACAGTCTTTACCATTGTGTACCGATTTGTGTGTGTGTGTGTGTCTTCATCAGTGTGTGCCAGACCTCTGATTTTTTTGGCATCTCCTTTGCAGGTTGGGATTCAAACAACGAAGAGGCAAGCTTGAGTTAGACCCTGCTGACTCCTGAATCTTTCTGATGCTCACACACACACACACACACACACACACACACACACACACACACACACACACACACACACACACACAACCACACACACCACACAACACACACATTCCTACATATGTGCACAGACACACACTCAACACAGACATTTGCAAACAAGTGTGTTATCTAAGCCCAAGGCGTGTGAGGGGGGAGGGCGGATAACACAGAGTAAGAGACGGGAGAAGAAAGGATGGAGAAGATGAGGGATTGGGAGGTGTGTGTGTGTGTGTGTGGTCTAGCATTACTATACTTGTGGGGACCTAAATCTGTTTACATAGTCACGTGTGGGGACTGGCTTCCCTTATGGGGACAAATTGGAGGTCCCCATAAGGGGAATCATTAATTTTAGGGTGAAGACTTGGTTAGGTTTAGGGTAAGGTTAAGGGTTAGGGTTAGGCATGTGTTGGTTATGGTTAAGGTTAGGATAAGTCTCCAGGAAATGCATGTAAGTCAATGTAATGTCCCCTGAAGTGATGTATACATGGTATGTGTGTGTGTGTGTGTGTGTGTGTGTATGTGTGTGTGTGTGTGTGTGTTCAGGTGTGTGTGTCGTGTGTGTGTGTGTGTGTGGTAAAGGGGGATGCAGGAAATAGACAGGAGATATAAGCAGGAGTGACCGCAGCAGATGTTGACTGTCCTCCGTCTGCCACACAAATACATCTGACATACAGTGACATACACACACACACACACCACACACACCACACACACACACACACACACACACACACACACACACACACACACACACACACACACACACTACAGTACAGTACAGTACACAAACTCACAGGGGTGGAAACAGCAAAAACAAACTAACAAACAAAGCAAAAATCATAATAAAGTGACTTGAGACACATTTCCGTTTTTTTCCTCCTGTTTTTTCTCTCCCTCCTCTTTCCTCCGAGGCTTTTTTCCCCTCCGGGGATGATGGGAGATGCAGCTGGATATAACCCCCCCGCACCACACACACACACAACACACACACACACACACACACACACACACACACACCACACACACACACACACACACACACACCACACACACACACACACACACACACACACACACACACACCACACACACACACCACACACACACACACACACACACACACCACACACACACACTCTCTCTCTCTCATCTATCTCTCACTCTCCTGCTCTATCTGGCACTGAGCAGAGGTAAACAGAGGAGGAGATCTCATTTGGTTCCTGAACTCAGCGCAGGCCACACACACTACATTTCTCTCTCTCTCTCTCTCTCTCTCTCTCTCACACTCACACTCACACACACACACACCACATTGGCAGAAGGTCCTGGACCAGTGTGTACTCTCGAGCACAAGAAGAAGTGATACGGAGGAATAACGGGAGCGTTGCCCGCTGTGTTTCCCGTGGACAAAGGCCCCCCGCCTGACGATGGAGAACACATGAAGAAGAGATTTGAGGGGGCACTCGGGGGGGGGGGGCAAAATGCTGCTGAGTAAAGTTTTGGGATATTTCTAAAGGGATGTTTTTAACCCTTGAACTTTGTGGGAAAACTGCCGAGGAAGGTCAGCTGTGTGCCGATCGCAAAGAGAAAAAGGTGAGGACAATTATTTGTCTTTCGTTTGTTTTATTGCAGATTTCACAAAGAAACATGCGATTATTCATCTTATTTTGAAAGAAAATCATGTTTCCTTTCTTTGATTTTTTATTCTGGCTTTTAATGAAGCAAGTGTCTGGCAAATATCGACTTATTCATCTGATTCTTAACATTTTATTTGCTGATTTTAAACCCTGAAGAGTTGTGCAGTGTTCCCATCTCAGTGTTAAATGTGTCCAATAACGGTCCCAACTGACCTGTTTAAAACGTCCTCTACCCTCTTTTCAATATCGATTCCATACACTTGTAAAATCAATGGATGTGTGATGTGTTTAACAACGAAAAGTCAATTTCTCCTGAGTATTTACAGCAACTCTGTTCAATTTGAAATGTACCAATGCTCTAAGCGTCACTTTGCAAAATGTAACTCCATGAAGCTTGATGATTTGTTGAGCAAGACACACACACTGTTCCTTTAGCGTATAGTAGCTGCTCACTGTATTTTATACTAGGGACAAATGCAGAGTCTAAAATGCATGTTTTAACCCTCCTGTTGTCTTCGGGTCAAATCTGACCGATTTACTACTTTCATCAATCATAACTTTTTTGTTTTACATTCGATTGCATTAAGGCTTCATGATATCCTTCACAGGAGACATTTTGAACATATAAAATGCTGATCACCACTTTCATTGAATTTGGATGATTTAGTCAACTTTGTGACACCATGGTGTTCCCGCTCAAACATGAAGAAATAAAGAAAAGGAATTAGTAACCATCCGGATCAGATAAAACACAACACACACACACACACAACACAGAACAATTGACACATTTCCCGCTCTTATGTGCCCCTCCCCCCACATGGATCACACCTGGCACACGGCAATACATGTTCAGTGTCTGTTCTTTGTATATTTACTGCAGTTCTTCATGTGTACCAGTAGTCTGATACAATATGTACAGTTTGAAAGGGTGTTAAATGAAATGTGGTGATGATTAATGGTTTTTGTGTTCATGTAATAGCAGTTAAAACAGGGACCGGTCAAGATTTGACCGCGAACACCAAAGTAAGGGGGGGAAACGAAGACATAGGAGGGTTGAGAGGATTCAATTTGATTCGATTCCTCCAATTCCATTTCATCATAAAAATATCTTCTTTTTTTATATTTTTGGCGGATATTCGCCCTTTATTTGAAACAAGAAATAGGTGAGGGAGGACAGAAGGAAAAGTCCTGCCACAAAGGATCAAACCCAGGGTGTTATATATCATGCGTTGAAGGCAACGATGTACAAAATAAATAATCCTTGTTTAATTAGGAATAGTTTTTTAAAAAATGCATCTGAAAGTATTTTTTATATACAAGTGTGTTTTTGCATTTACACCACTTGTTGTTGAAAAATCCTTATATTTAAAGATGATCTGATGGCGTTTTCGCCTTTTTTGGAAAGGGGACAGTGTAAAGAAAGGAATGAGAAAAGGGGTATAACATGTAACATCGAGGAACAAACAAATGGCATCGTCTAAAAGCTTTTATCCACTTACCAAAGTGCATTTTACCATGAAGATACAAACACACTGTGAACCCACTGACTGAATCTCTGCTGTCACGATGTCATGTATTTATCTAATATATCATCGTATATAGACTCTCCTTGCACGATTATTCTATCTGTTGTATTGTGTTGCTCTGTTGGAGGAGCCACGACCTCAGAATGTAGATTTCTACACTAGCTATGTACACATGACATAAAAGCCTTGAATCTTGAAATGATAACCATTTTCCTACCAAGGCTCTGAGATAACTCCATTTAAAAAAACAGTAAAATAACCGTGATTTCTTTCTTTTCTCTCAAACTGAAGCCTGCAGGTTGGACTTTTGACTCCTCCTGGCATCATGGCACCCACCAACTCTTCCTCCTGCCTCCTCTTCCTCCTCCTCACCTTCCTCTTCCTCATTCCTCCCCCCGCCCTCACCCAGGACCCTTCGGTCACCACGGGTAACATCCTCCTCAGAGGGCGGCGAATCGTTGACCATCCCGACCGCCGCTCAGTCCAATCAGACGACGCCCAGCAGCTACGCGGAAGAAAGAACGACTCAAGACTCTCTTCTGGAAACGGGGGTGTCCACTCCTGCCAGCGGGGGGGAGGGGGGGGGACGACGAGGACGCCATCCCCTCAGGTGGGATGCGTTGCCAAGGTTACTACGACGTGATGGGCCAATGGGATCCGCCGTTCAACTGCAACGCGGGCGTTTTCCTGCACTGTTGCGGCACCTGTTTCTACCGGTTCTGTTGCCAGTTCAGAAAGCAGCGCCTGGACCAGAACATCTGCTCCAACTACGACACCCCCATCTGGGCCAACACCGGGAAGCCCGTGGCAGCCGGTAACCCAGGGGGGGAGACGATCTGGACCGGGGACCGCACGCACCTCATCGTCTACATCATCTGCGGCGTGGTGGCCATCATGGTGCTGGTCGGCATCTTCACCAAACTGGGCCTGGAGAAGAGTCGCGAGGGGAGTTCAGCGGGAGGTGGAGCGGGGGACATCAACTCCAGGTGAGGAGAAAGAAGGAGGGCGGGGAAGGCGTGTTTCCCTTCAAATGACAAGCTAATGTTTTCAGAGAACTTTTGAAAGGAATTGGAGTTATGCGTGTTAAGATCTGGCTTGTTGACTCGGAGCATTGCCTTTGTGAAGTTGGTGCTATAGGCTGTACGGCTGTAATCTACAAGTCAAATAAGCAGACATTACAAACAAAACAAGTCTCTGGCAACTATCTAGGGGCGGAGGGCAAAACATTTTGAATGCAAATAGTGCAAAGTGAGTTTTCGTCGAGTAGTTTTGGCTAAAGTTGGTGCTATAGGCTACGTACAGTCGTAATTCTAGAAAACTGAGTAAAAGGAGTAGAAAAGTCCGGCATATTTTTTAAGAGAACTTTTGAAAGGGAATCGGAGTTATGCGTGTTCATTTGTAGCGTTGGCTTTTGTGAAGTTGGCGGGTAGAGACGTCGTGTTTCCATTCAAATGGCATCATATTTTTTAGAGAACTTTTAAAAGGAATCGGAATTGTGGCGCGTTAACATCTGGTTTGTCAATAATTACTCGTAGCATTGGCTTTTGTGAAGTTGGAGCTATAGGCTACGCTACCGAACATTTTGGAAAACAAAAGTAGAAGAAATTCCTGTCGCCTCCGAGTTTACAATCTCCAACTCTGACTGTGTCGACCTAACGCGCGTGTGTGTGTGTGGTGTGTGTGTGAGTGTGTGTGTGGTGTGTGCGTGTTTGCATGCATGTGTATGACCCTCTAATACTTTTCTAACAACATAAGTACTCACGGCTCAACTCAACCATAAACATTTTGAGGAAAGATACTTCATTTTCCTGGAGGTGCACAAATACTGGAAAGTATGTCGAATTTAGCAAAAGCTCTGAGGGAAGGGAGTCAAAACTGATCCTGTTGATCTTAAACATGGTATTTGAGATAAGTGTGCTTTATGAACGTTGTAATCCTCATAATCAGTTCATCCTTTTCACGCCCTTATTTTGATCATCGTTTTTCCCCATCCCACTTTCTTTATTCATTTGCTTCTGTATTTCACCCTTTTTTACCACTTGCTTTGTTTGTAAGCATCACTTGTATTTGAAATAACCGAAAAATCTGAAAAAATACAAAAATTGACCAAAGTATTTTTGCTCCCTAAAAAACATTTGTATTGCTCTTGTGCAAAAATTCAGTTTGACTGTCATAAATTCAGCCTCGTGGCGTTTAGGGAAAAGTATATCTTTCCAACATAAGAACAGACGAAGAATACTTTTAGGCAGTTACAGTTCCTGGTCTTAATCACACACACAACACACACACACACACACACACACACACACACACACACACACACACACACCACACACACACACACACACACACACACACACACACATACACACACACACACACACACACACACACACACACACACACACACACACACATCCACACACACACACACCACACACACACACACACACACTCTCCCGCTGCAGTGGGGTGTTAAATACGTGGTCCAGGGTTCAATCTGTTCCCCTCAGGAAATCACTAAAGCAAACTGCGCGCAGCAGGGGCTCAAATCTCCCCACTTTCATCTCTATCTGGAGATAATTCTTCTTGTCTCCTCTGGCTTTTCTCTTTTCTGATTTTCCACGACATCTCCATTTCATCCGATGAGTTTCTTCGTCACAAATCTCACTGCACATGTCACTCAAAACCTCTTAACTCCAACATCTCATTCTCCATCCTTTCTGCCTCCTTTTCCTGCAGCCTTCCCACTTCTTTTCAACCCTTTTCTCTCCAAGAACCGAGGCCGTTTCAGCCACTCATCTTTACTCACTCCTCTCCTTCCTTTTCATACTCGCGTGTCCTCACTCATCTCCCCCCCCCCCCCCCCTTGCATGTTTTTACTGGTGTTTTTTTTGCCTTTTTATTGGAGAAAGTAGAAGGCCATAAGGGGCCATTGTTGGCTTTGTCGAATGGGATTTTTAGTCCAGGGGAAATTGAGGGAAATGTCAAGAGTCACTTAACATCACATATGGATGGTAGCCTAATAACACATTCGTTATAGGACATTCACTCCTCGTTAATCGTTTGCATTTTCAGTGGAAGACAGAAAGTGGGACAAGATATCAGTTGGGGCATTTTGGTCTTTGGATGGGATTTTCGGTTCGGGGGAAATTGGGGAAATTAAATCAAATACGTTAACAAAGCAATGTATAAACACCTGCAGACTGTATTCACTATTGGTTCCTAACAAGACATGCATTGATGGTTTATTGGTTTGCATTCTAGGTTTGAGAAGTGGAAAGGATAATCGGTCATCGTTGGCACGCGGCCGCGGATGAGATTTTTGGTGACAGTTTCGGGAGAATTGGGCAATTTAAAATCATCACTTTAAACATTAGAAACACCTGCAGGACTGTTCATAGTTGGTTGTCTTATCAGGACACACTTTATAAGACATCCAATGATGGTTAATGGTGAATACTCTTCCAGTTGAATTTAAAACCGTACTGATTTTTAACTCGTTTTCTTGTGGTGCAAAAAAAATGATATTAAGCAACCAGTCATGCCAACATAATCACACTGTAATCTGAGTTTTTTTATTTGAACTGAATTGTATACTATATCTAGATATTTGATTTAAGTGTATTTGAAGTGTACTAAGTATTATGTTCGTTAACCTGTATTTAAATCAGGCTTTATAATTATTTGAGAGACCAAGATCATGTAAGTGTATTTCAAGTGTACTACAGTATGTATTCATTTATTGAGCTGTACTTAAATAGGTTTTTAAAATTGTTTGACTGTATAGAGATCATGAATGTTATTATTTGTATATTGATTGTTATGAACCTGCCTGAGGACCACAGATGGAAATGAGCTATTAGCTATAATCTGGCATATCTCTTCTCTTTGCTGAGATGTTTTGTATGCATGGTCCTTCTATAAATAAATACAAATACAAAAAATCTGAGTGAAAAAGGGGAAAGACATAATGCATTTTTGGTCTGTAGGTGGGATTTTAGGGACACTTTTGGGGAACATTTGGGAAGCGTAAAATCATATATTGCACTACAAATAACATCAGTTGAATGAAGCAACTTTTTGAATCAGACGTTCCTATAAGACATGCTTTGAAGGTTAATGGTTTGCATTTTAATTGAGAAAGTGGACAGAAAAGGAGCTCCAGCTGCTCTGCTAACCTGAGCGTTGGATAACACACACAGCAGGATTAATATTCCCCCCCACGCCCTCTCCTCAGTGAGCCCATCTCCACAGATTAGCGCTCCTCCTCCTCACGATTTAACACATTTCACCAAGATTACAGCTTCACCGTTTCTGGACTCATCGCCTCCTTTACTTATTAGTGACATAACTCCCTGGTCCAGAAGTGAACGTGCAGCTGAGACCTGATGTTCTGCATGCATGTTAAACGTCAACAAACCCAGAACATGCACCTGCACGTTTCTTAATTTATAGTTTCTTTCCCTCCCATGGTCTTCCTCTCCTCATCCTGTGAGCAGAGGATGATTAACACTGCGAAATCCCAGCTCTCCTGAATCAGCTTTGAAAGTTAAAATCCAAAATGATCCTCCTCTCAGATGATCACACACACACCACACACACACAGACACACACACACACACACACACACACACACACCACACACACACACACACACACACACACACACACACACACACACGCACACACACAGAGTATCACACCTGTGAACACCTTCAGTGGTCTAAAGTAATTAAGTATATTAACTTAAGTTCTTAGGAAGATAATAAAATATGTGTACTGAAGTTATTACAATCAATTACATAAATAATAAAAGTGCTTGTTCTTGTGCACCAGTAGATTTTGGAAGCCAATAGCGTACTATTTGCATTAAAATATAGCACTATTATAGAACACAAAGATAGATATCTAATAAATAAAACCGAATGCATAAAAATTACCATAATCCAGTAATTTGCATTGAACTATTTATTGAAATTTTTACTTAAAGGTCAACATGTCATGCTTTTCCGGTTATTCCCCGTCCCCTTGTGTGGTTATGAAGGTTTTTTATGCATGTAAACGGTCTGCAGAGTCAAAACCCTCAAAGTACACCACTGTAGCGAGTAAAACTCTAACACAGAAAATACCTCCCCAAAACGCCTCGTTGGTGAAACGTCATCATCCATTTGATTCTTCCGGGGACATCTGATGTCATGTCGTACCCGGAACGAAATGGACCAATCCGTGGAGCCGTTACGAACGTTCATTCTCTTTGCGGACCCATTCTCTCTGCAGACCCATTCTCTCTGCAGACCCATTCTCTCTGCAGACCCATTCTCTCTGCAGACCCATTCTCTCTGCAGACCCATTCTCTCTGCAGACCCATTCTCTCTGCAGACCCATTCTCTCTGCAGACCCATTCTCTCTGCAGACCCATTCTCTCTGCAGGACCCATTCTCTCTGCAGACCCATTCTCTCTGCAGACCCATTCTCTCTGCAGACCCATTCTCTCTGTAGACCCATTCTCTCTACAGACCCGTTCTCTCTGCAGACCCATTCTCTCTGCAGACCCATTCTCTCTGCAGACCCATTCTCTCTGCAGACCCATTCTCTCTACAGACCCATTCTCTCTGCAGGACCCATTCTCTCTGCAGACCCATTCTCTCTGCAGACCCCATTCTCTCTGCAGACCCATTCTCTCTGCAGACCCCATTCTCTCTGCAGACCCATTCTCACAGCGTTTATCAACCTTTTTCTTACTCAATATCAAACCACACTTATTGTTTTTACTTCGGCTGTGACTTTGTGTGCTCAGGATGAGTTTGGCTGTGTTTCGCTGTGTATCGCTAAACAAGGAAACCACACCTCCACGGAGCTCAGCGCGATTCACAACGTCCCGACTGGTCCCGACCAATCGGAGCACACTGGGCTCACAGGGAGGGGGGGGCAAGAGCCTGCAACGAGCCGTTTAGTGGAGAGAGTGAATACACGTAGTTTACAGAGAT